TGAGATAACTACAGTGAGATGAAGACATGATTGCTAATCACAACGTGTAGCACGACACAGTAACACAAATGAAATTTATTTGGAACAAAGTAACCCCAATAACTTCTCACGGTATCGGATCCAAATTTGGAACGGATGTCTTTGAAGAAATTGTGCGTCGTGCTCATATTATTAGATCTTTATTGGAATGTTTGGATCAACGACAACGAGAGAAAATCCAAAAAAATACAATTTTCGGTTGACGACGATTCGACCCACTTGAAAGGCCTTTTTCAAGTCAATTGACTCACTTTGTAGTAAATAAACTTCATTTTAGCCCGAATTCCATTATGGTGTAGGCAAACTGTTTTTAGTAAAATTTGGTATTGGCTCATTTTTTTTTAATTATCAACCAGCGGATACATTGTGTGAACGGTGAGACAAACTGGTACAATCATCGTATTTTCAACATGCGTTGTTTACAATCAAATATTATTCCCAACAGTCTTCACCCCAAACTCCCGGACTCTTCTGATCGATCCAAAAAGGCTGCAAATGTTGCCTAACGAACATTCTTACTCCAACAAATTCATTTTTGTACAACTGAACTTGAGTACATCCGAAGCTTATGTTTGACGATTGATGCAAAAATGAATGTTATTCTCGATTAGGAAAACTGGGAAACAACGGAAAAGGGTACTGAAACAGCATTTCTCCCGAGAGTTTCTCACTACAACAGAAAATCAAAGACGGAAATTTGAAGATCTACAAACCAAACGGGATATACTAATATCAACAAAGAAACGTTATTTCACCTGTGTAGTTTCACCATTGAATTTATCCGATCGAGTTCTGACCGCACACGGAAATCCCGTCTTAAAAGCAAAGGATCTTCACAGAGAACCTCCTGTCTGTCGACGGTTCCAGCTCACACCTAGACTCGGCCCACTTGCGGTTGTCTGGTGTATTCGTTCGTTCACGGGAGACATCCTGCCGCACACACGAGCCAAGCATCTTACATCATGAACAAGGCGGATTATGACAAAAAAAGCCGTGATCTGTGAAATTCCTCAAAAGCGAGCTCAGGCCCTCAGGAATAAGACTCAAGCCACGACTGCGAAGTTACTTCGAGTTTCGAAACCTATGCTGGTTAAGTCATTATGGTTTCAATTGAATCCTAAAACAAACAAACCACCAGGAATCTGGTGGAGATATTTAGATCAACCATTAAGTTTACAATAGAAAAACAAGAAAAAAGCATTGACTTCTTAAACTGTCAAGTTACTTTCAATGATTTCGGTAACTTATCGATATCTGTGTACAGAAAGCTAACCCACACTAGCAGGTATTTGTCTTACTCGTCTGAACACCCCATAAATATGAAGGCCACTGTGGTGACCAACCTCCTAACCAGAGCTAACCATTTCGTCTCAAACAAAAAGGACAAACGCAAAAAAAGTTAAACTAGTCATAAGAGAGTCAGTGGATAACAGATATCCACCAAGATTTTACAAAAAATTCAAAAAGGTCTTAAGTGATCTACAGAACCAGAAATCAAAAAGACCGATTGGATCGCAACTAGTGTCATACCTTATCGCCGCAATACGTCAAAAGATATCCGACGAATATTGAGACGATTCAATATACAGGTCGCATTTCGGGCAACCAACACCCATCGTTCACTCTTGATTCGACTTACGGAGAGACGACCAAAAGCTGATCAATCGAATCTCATGTACGAGATAGGATGTAAACAGTGTACAGCCACATACGTTGGCCAAACAAGTCGACAACCAAAGATGCGAGCAGCCGAACATGACAGGAAATCCAAACAAATGCATCACAGCTTAGGACTCTTGAGAGGGACCCAGTTACATTCTATTTCTGAGGGACTCTATTGGCTTCGAAAAACCGATTATTCTGAAACAAGGTTTCAGATCATGTAAAGAACGCTTAATTAGTGAGTCATTGATCCACTTTGCGCCAATCAATCGGACAGAACTCAATTATCAGTTCACTGGCTTGATGCCAGTTGCACAACCACCGCTCACACACAAACATACACACTTGCCTACTAACACATATGATTAAATCTCGCCACATCACAAAACTGCTCACAGATTAATCTCCCATCTTCTTTGACGTCATCCTTAGCTTTTTGACCTCTTGCTTCACTCACAACTTCCATGTACTCATTTATTACGACGCAAACTCAATTGTTCCTCCCTTTAGACCAATCAGAAGCACCTCCAATTGCTACGGTTTCTTTCAAAGATTTTGTTTAATGTTCGCTTGTTGATTGACTTGAAAATGGCCTTCCGAGAGGGTCGAAAAGTCGACAATCGAAAATTGTTTTCCTGGTAATCCAAACATTCCTATAAGGTTCAAATAGTTGTTTGGCAGATTTAAAGTTTCTATGTCGATTGTGAAAAGTTCAGTAGCCTCGGTGGAATTCGAACCCACGCATGGACGCCGCCTACACTTTCTACGCACATGCTCTACCAGCTGAGCTACGAGGCCACGCCGATAGCACTGATCTTTTCACATTCGAATCTACCCATTCACCTAAGTGCTATCGATGTGGCCTCATAGCTCAGCTGGTAGACCATGCGCGTACAAAGCGTAGGCGGCGTCCATGCGCTGGTTCGAATCCCACCGAGGCTACTGAACTTTTCACAATCGACATAGAAAATTCCTATAAGGATCTAACTCCAATAACGATACTGAAAATGAGCGGTCTACACACCCTAGTGCTCGATCGGGCTGTCTTTATTCTCTAGAACGTTTCCCAGTCTGTTCGGCACGGAGTTCATCTTCTGGGTTATGAAGACAATCATCACTCTTTCGCTTCATCGCATGTTACACGTTTGGAAACGCATACGGAAAATCATAAAGCATGCTATCACTTGGACTACGTACGTAATGACACTGAAACTGAGATCGATAAACCAGATGACTAAAAACTAAACGTCATTTTCGACTACCGATATGCTGGAAACGACAGGATTAGGAAACGTTACGCAATCAATGCGCATTAGCTAACCTACACATGGCTGCACCATAAAATGAATATCGCTGTGATTCGCCGGTGGGATATCTCGTTCGAGATCTTCGTCTTCTTACTTAGGGGCGAAAAATCAAAAACTCGACGACGATAGTCCTACCAATAAGGTCATTATAGTCAGAAATGGTTTAGATTCACATCGCGTTGTTCGTCAAGAAATGTTTATATTCTTTTGACGATCTACACAATCATTTGAAAAAAATGGATCTACTCGAACAACCGACTACTTTTCCTAACAGCTCATTTCATATCCTCTGTTCGTCAATTGGACACATGGCCGAGATGATAGTCTCCGTGGCTGTGTTCGTACTGTGACTGCTCTGAACATTCATTATGGTCTACGAGAATATGCCATGAGTGCTCTCTAGGATAGTCGGTTTTCTCCTATAACTGAAGGAGTTTCCTCACTTGACGTGCTCTGGGTCACTATAGTTGCATTTTGAGGATGGCAGAAATTATCAAGATTGGCAGATCACGGAATTCGCACAGAGTTTGTAGCCGAAACAGGTTATCATCGAACTCCAACATTTTCCAGAAGTGGCTCACAAGCAGAGTGGGACACATTCCGGAAGGGTGCATACCGCGGGACTGTTAATGAAAACATTGCGCCAATCAATCCGTCTTACGCGATATCGCAGTGAGCAACTCGGTGTTCCGGACAGCGAGTATGTACGAGCACGCCAGAAAGACCACGTGATCTAACGTCTAGTCAATACAGAAAGGATCAATTACCTGATGCCAAACCGTTTTATTATCTGTTTTCCTTCCTATCGGTGTTCGACAGATAATTTTTTCTCTGCTAACCAGGACTGGTTATTTTGACCTGTGTGTTGCTGTGTCCCAATCTACGCTTTTTATATACCCATAAGTTGTGATAGCGACGGAACAGTCCACCGTCCTCTTCACACTTATTTGTGTATTTCCAATCGAGCTTTCGCGCAGTCCGCAGTTACTGTGTTTGTCGATCCCACTTTTAGATCGGCTTGTTCCTTCGAAATGCCTCGTGTAGCTTTTGTTAATCAATAACGTTCAGTCAGGGATCCCCTCTGAACTGTTCGGAAAACCCATTCTGTCCAAATTTCAAGTCTTTTTCTAGGGTGCTCTTTCTGGTCTACCTGATTGGTATGACTGTCCATTTCGCTCTCTCATACCGTACGCCCCTATTTCACCACATAGTTATACATCTCAGATAAACTAAAGGGAAGTATAATATGCTCACCCAACGAACACCCGTGAAACAGGGCAATTCAAACGAGTCAATAGGCGAACGGAATGCGGGTTGCTCGTTCTCATCCAGCCGATCGGGATGAGTAAGAGCGAAAAACGACAGAGGACTCACGGAGAACAGCGAATACAATATGCATGTATGCAATCAGATAAAGAACAGAAAGATGACAAAGAAATAAATAGAGAATGAGAGATTAAAAGGTCAATTGAGACAACATTTGTAAGTCAAATGACGTAACAGTACCACGACGGACTGTTAAGCTCACTGACACCGGATATGACTGTCGTGTCGTACCATAATGAGCTGTTTGTGCGTGTATCTATATTTATATAGGTGTAGTTCAATCCCCATAGTACACAAGAGACAGTTACGGACAAGTGGGCAAGAACATGTAGAACATGTACCATACGGATGTAGATGTGTTGTTGTTAATTTGACCAAGAGAGAAAGCCTCGGTAAACAAAACGGGAACATTTGAACAGAGAAGAGCAAGAAGAAGCAGAAAATCCGAACACAAGCAAGCGAGAACAGGGACAGTGATACGAAACGGTCAGAGAACACACGCTCCGACTCGAGCGATATGACCATCACAGTTGTGCAACGAAAGCGATATGGTAACATTTCCCGAGGTCAGGGGCGATGGAATGAAGGGAGCAGTTTAATGTGTGTGTGTGTTGGAGAAGGGGGAAATAGACGACTCGGAAAGAGAGATCGCACAGATATTCCGGCTCAGAAATCGATTAACTTTACATCTTTTTCTCGCGAGTCATCATCTCGTGGACCGGGGATGCCCGGTGCCAACAGCGGGACCGCACTTGATGCACCCGCGTCACCAGCGGATTGAACATCCGGATTCCGGATTGATACATCACTCGGATTGGTCGCCCCATCGTTGACGAATGAGTCGAACTCTGACAGCATGTATGGAACGGGGAAGTTGAAAAGCCGAATGTGTATAAGAATCAAGTCTGATTGCATAAAGAGACTAAATATGTCCTGGTAGACAAGCCTCGTAGTGTAGCAGCGTATGTTCTTTTGTTGACAAACTGATAAGAGACGGTCAAACAATCGTTCTAGCAGAATTATGCACTATAAAGAGGAAAAACCCCAGGCCATCGAGGTTCTCGTGATGATATTTTCCAAAACTTTTTCACAAAATATAGGTGTGTCATCGCTTAACCGTGCTACACAAGAGTTCCCCAAAGAGGACGATATGTGAAATGACTACTTTTTCTTTAATTCTAGCTCAACTTAGTCGCCGATTGTAGCACCCGTTCTACCTTTGTGGAAATCGAAATGCCTCCAGACTGTACCCGGTTGGAGTACACGCATAAAACAAGGTATTGACTGATTAATGAGATCAGTACGTATAGTGACAGCCATGCCTGGTAGGAGTGCTCTGCTTATATTGCTAATTGCCATCAATGAACGGGTTCGTCCCGTTTGAGGAACAAATAGAGTAATTCGGTATTGTCTGCCATTCGGAAAGCTACATCATTCTTGGATACATCTCCGAGTTCAAACAGCACCAAATAAATCGTGACAAAAAATAACTTTTCAAACTGACAGAGTCGTTCCTACATAGAAATCCTTTGTCATCTTCTCGTCGGGCTTTTCCTTTCTCCATTTTGTTATTCGCTTCACAGTGAATGAAGGTTTTTATTTGTGCTGTCCTACGAAAGCGGTAAGCTTATAAATTACACAAAACGACAGTTGTCAAACAGCTTTCCTTTTAAATCAAAGAGGACAGGCTTACCCTCGATACAGCAAACACTCGGAGGAACAAGCAACTTTGTGATCACATTGTGAATTCCATATCTGATCTGAAGACTGAACTTAACATTCACATTTGTTTCTCTTTATCTCTGTCTCCCTCATTGTCCCACCATTTGAATCAATCTCGCTCCTCGATTCCACGCCTCGCACTATCACTAACTACTTAACAAACAAATATCTTATGGGGGGGGGCTTAATTTTATTCTCACCATCAAATGTCAGTCATTGATTATCAGTTTTTATACTTGAACAGCAACTAAAAGGAGAATACCTTCACCTCCCCAAGCACCTTGCAAATAAGATGTGTAACGATTATCTTAAACCGGTCATTGAAGTAAACGGCAACCGGACTGCTAGGGATAACAGAATGCAGTGCAGTTTGGTATTATCTCCACTTGAATCATGCGTCAGAGAATTTGATTTCACTATTTCTATATTGAGAGCTTAATACAAATTCTAGCCAACAACTCTTTTTTACCCGAATTCAGCGCGGAAAGCGGTGTTTGTCGTAGCGGCCCTCTCTCATTCCTTGTTATGGAATGATTCAGGAAACAGGGCTATCTCCATGAGAGGAAAGCGGCATAGATATGTTCCCGGCTGACCACTCACCTTACCCGAGGTATGCAGACGACATTCTAATGTTGACTGAAGGTTCAGATAATTTGCAAAATTTTCTGAGTAGGGTTTTTGTATTTTCACGGATGAAATGTAGCTGCAGGACTAGTTGCGCCCAACTCCCGACTTCATTCCAACTGCGAAAATAATCAAGGTGTACAAATTTGGCTATTTGGGCAACTATTTCTAACCTACCTCAGGAAGCCACACCATGGTCAGGGTTGGGTGTCTAGGGTTACGGCTAATAATGTCTCCCCCTGCGCCTCAATCAAGCGTCTCAAATAGTTAAGGCTGAGGAAACCCTACTTATGCCTTCTCGTAGCGGAGATCTTTTCCCACCAAAGTGAGAGGATAAGAAGCCAACATCCGGGACTATAACCGGGTTAGTGAACCATTGGCAGTTCATCTAAGAGAGTTGGCTAAAAACACTAATTACAAACCAGCCAAGAAGAGATGTACGAACCACGCACACACCGTCCTGGTCGTGGTAGTGGCCCCCGGCTCGATTGGGTATCGAGGCGTATTGGCCACCTTGAATGTTTGACCCTAACCAAAAGGCGTAAGATCCGATGGACTGGACATCGGCCCCCAACGGATTGCACTTTACGCACATCACCCCGCTGCTCTGCGACTCAGGCTTTGGTTAACCGAAGGCTCCGGTTGCAAATTCCCTAAGATTTACCTGCTTTGGCTTGGGCAACCTGACAGTATGCACCCTCGAGCGAATCATGGATCTTTCTTTCTCTTTTTCATAAGGATTGTTGTACCGTGATTTATTTGGCACACAATCGGAACTCGGAAGCGTGTGAAAGAATATATATATATATTGTGGGGTGAAACCGAAACTGATTGACGTTCGGTAATTGGATACCGAAGTGA